CTGCTTCCCAGAAACCTCCCTCTTCAAGCACCCGTGTCACATCGGGAGCCTTTTCCTCTCTGTGAACGTGGCTTCAAGTCTCCCTGAAGGTGCAGCGGTGCCTCCTCAGGTTGCAACAGAAGCAGCCGGGGGTGCACTTTCCCGGACAGAGGCAGCCAGACAACAGTGGGAAATGCACATGTGTGCGGCCAGGCTCAGGGCAGCCAAGGCGCTTTGGGGCTCCACCTGCTGGCCGTTTGTCCACACTGCAGGATGCTCAGAACCGTTGACTTCTTCCCTGCTGCCCCCTGCTGGACTACTGACTGAGTCGCTGTCCAGTGGTTTTCATAGATGGGGATTAGTTAGGCATCCTGTGCACGACAGCAGATGGAGACAAAAAGAAGCAAAGACACCATCGGATATAGATGTCTATGCACCTACATTATACCAGCTAAGAACAATTGCCATTTACAGGTTACCAAATAGCATTTACTAGACACTGAAAAATAAAGGAGTTACACATCTAGCAATATACGTGCAAAACTACATCCAAAATTATGAAACAGAGTACAGGAATAAAATAAACATAAGCGGACAATTCTACCTCTTTTTTTATTTTTTGACAGGCAGAGTGGACAGTGAGAGAGAGAGACAGAGAAAAAGGTCTTCCTTTGCCTTTGCTTCAGCTCCAATGGCCGCCGCGGCCGGCACGGTGTGGCAGGCGCACCGTGCTGATCCGATGGCAGGAGTCAGGTACTTCTCCTGGTCTCCCATGGGGTGCAGGGCCCAAGCACTTGGGCCATCCTCCACTGCACTCCCGGGCCACAGCAGAGAGCTGGCCTGGAAGAGGGGCAACCGGGACAGAATCCAGCGCCCCAACCAGGAGTAGAACCTGGTGTGCCGGGGCCACAAGCCGGAGGATTAGCCTAGTGAGCTGCTGCGCCGGCGAATTCTACCTCTTTATTATTTGCAAAGTGAGTATGAAAATGCCAATGTTTTTCTCAACCTTATCTATGGGACAGCCCCACTCAAATTTCCCTGGAGCTGTTTCAGATTCTGACAAACAATGTACACACCCAGATCCCACACCTTATGGAAAATGTGACATAACACAAACCCACATCACTGGGTCAGAGGGCAAGTGCTGGGCCTTCCCAAAGGTACGCACGAGGTGTGACTGACACAGGGCCCTCCACTGTGGGGTGACGGGGACTGTCACAACCACTGGAGGAAGCCATGGATGCAAATCACCATGCACAAGGCCCAGAGCCAGTTTTACATCGATGGATGCTGTCAGTAAGGGCTTCTATCATCCAAGGGCTCCTACAACTTCATCCCATCCATGGTTCCTCAGTAGGAAGTGGGACCTGTACTGTGTCCATAGTGAAAGAACCCTACTGGAAAACCCTTACCTATGTCGCTTAGGGAAGTATGAACAAAAGTGAGTGAACCTGTAAGACATGTAACTATTTAAATACTCATAAATTCTATGAACTAGTTAATCTTCCTTTACCTGTGTAGCTGTATCCTTGCATCTGGGAAGCTTTAACATCCTAGGAGGAAATAATTGGTACCATCATAACTTACACAGATGTCTACTTCCTGAATGGATAAATTGTTTATCCCCCTGAATGGACAAATGTACATGATCCAACTTTATGCTGTCTACACTCAATTAACAGATAAATATACATATAAGCTGAAAATGTAAGGATTGGAGGGGCCAGCATTGTGGCATAGTGGGTAAAGCGACAACCTGCAGGCCGGTATCCCAAAAGGGTGCCAGTTCTAGACCCGGCTGCTCCACTTCCAATCCAGCTCTCTGCTATGGCCTGGGAAAGCAGTAGAAGATGGCCCAAGTCCTTGGGCCCCCACACCAGCGTGGGAGACCCAGAAGAAGCTCCTGGATCCTGGCTTCATATTGGCTCAGCTCAGGCCATTACAGACAACTGGGGAGTAAATCAGCAGGTGGAAGACTTCTCTCTCTGCCTCTGCCTCTCTGTACCTCTTTTTTTTTTTTTAAAAAAAGAGCAAAAATGAAGGCTTGGAAAAAGATATATCATGTAAATGGAAACCAGTAACAAGCTGCAGGAACCATGCTGGTATCAGATAAAATAGACTTTAAATTAAGAGCTGCAAAAAGAGACAAGGATATCATATATTCATAAAAGGATCAATTCATCAAGATAATATAACATATATGAAAATACAGGCACACAAGTCCGTACAAATACCGTAAATATTATTAGGGCTAAAGGGAGAGATAGACTCCACCACAGTAATACCAGGAGACTTCAACCACTGACAGGCATCAAAGAAAAATCAGAGTTGTACCGTATCATAGAGCAAATGGACCTAGGAGACTTTAAACAACATTTCCCCAACAATTATAGAGTACACATTCTACTCATCAGCACATGGAACATTTTCTAGGATAGGCCCCAGATGAGGCCACAAATTAAGACTCAGTAAACAAAAAAATAAATTGACATCATGTATATTTTCAAGCCACAAAGGAAAACATTTAGAAATCAATTATGCGGGCTGGAGCTGTGGTGTAGAGGGTGAAGCTGCCTCCTGCAGTGTCAGCATCCCATATGGGACCTGGTTCGAGTCCTGGCTGCTCCACTTCCGATCCAGCTCTCTTCTATGGCCTGGGAAAGCAGTAGAAGATGGCCCAAGTCCTTGGGCCTCTGCACCCATGTGGGAAACCTGGAGGAAGCTCCTGGATCCTGCCTTCGAATCAGCATAGCTCCAGCTATTGTGGCTAATTGGTGAGTGAACCAGCGAATGGATGCCCCCCACCCTCCGCTGCTTCTCCTCTGTGTAATTCTGACTTTCAAATAAATAAATAAATCTTTAAAAATATTAATTGTAACAACAGAAAATCTGCAAATACATGGAAATTAAACAACATGCTACTGAATGACTAATGGATCATGGAAGAAATTAAAGTAGAAATAAAAATTCTTGAAACAAATGAGAATATCAACAACACATATCAAAATCTGAGGACAGCCAATGCAGTATTCAGAGGAAGGTTTACAACAACAAGCTTCCCTTAAAATGGAAAAATCTCAAATAAATTATCTAATATTCATGTTAAAGACTTGGAAAAGCAAGAAAAACCATACCCAAAATTAGTAGGAGGTGAGAAATCAAGAGAATCAGAGCAGAAATTAATGAAACTCAAACAAAACTAACAACTCTTAAAATCAAAAAAAAGGAAAAGATGGATTTTGAAAAATAAGCAAAACAGGTAAATCTTTAGCCAACTAACAAAGAAAATAGAGAAAAAACCTAAAATAAATAAAATTAGAGATGAAAAATGATACCACAGAAACACAAAGAATTACAAGTGACTCCTGTGAATGACTTTGTGCTATCAACTTAGAAAACCTTGAAGAGATGGATGAATTCCTGGGTGCACGCTATCTGCCAATATTACTTCAAGAACATATAGAAAACCATAACAATGCGATGGAAGCAGTACCTAAAGTCTCCTGTCAAAGAAAGGTCCAGAACCTGATGTCTTCACAACTAAATTCTACAGAACATTTAGACAGGAACTAACTCCAATACTTTGCAAATTATTCGAAAATGCTGAAAATGAAAGAATTCTGCTGAATTCTTCTTATGAGGCCAGTGTTACTCTGATACCAAAACCAAACAAAGACATAACATAAAAAGTAAACTATAGATCAATATTCCTGATACACACAGATGTAGAAATTCTCAACAAAAGATTAGCAAACTGAATCCAACACTACATCAAAAAGATCATATACCATGATAAACTAGCATTTACCCCAGAGGTGCAAGTGTGGTTCAACATTCACAAACCCATAAATATAAGTCACAATAGCAGACTGAAGAACACCATATGATCATCTTGATAGATGCAGAGAAATCATGATTCCGCATCCCATCTCTATAAAAACCCTCAACAAATTAGTTCTACAAGGAGCATATCTCAAAATGATACAGCTACATGTGTGTGCATGTATGTATATGACAAACTGGCAATCAGTATCATCCTGAATTCAGAACACTTGAAAGCAGATCCAGAACAAGACAAGGATGTCCAATTTTTACCACTCGTACTTGATATAGTGCTGAAAGTATGAGCATGGGGGAGGGGGCGCTGTGCTGTGGCGTAGTGAGTAAAGCCACTGCCTGTAGTGCCAGTATCTCTTATGGGTGCCAGTTTCTGTCCTGGATGCTCCTCTTCTGATCCAGCTCTCTGCTATGGCCTGGGAAAGCAGTGGAAGATGGCCCAAGTCCTTGGGCCCCTGTACCCACGTGGGAGACCCAGAAGCGCATGGCGATCGGCACAGCTCCGGCAGTTGCACCCATCTGGGGAGTGAACCAGCGGATGTAAGACCTCTGTCTCTCTCTCTCTTTCTGCTTCTGCCTCCGCCTCTGCCTCTCTGTAACTCTGCCTTTCAAATAAATAAATATATCTTAAAAATTAGAAAGTATTAGCATGAGCAATTACAGAATTGAAGAAACAATGAGCTTCAAATGTCACAGAAGAGGAAACCAAATATCCATGTTTGCAGATGACATGATGCTGTACAGTGCTAGGTCATGCCTCTCATTCAAACTGTTACCTCAACTATATTGGAAACAGATCCTCTTAAGTCACTCAACTTACTTCACAAGGAGGGAATGAGAATGTGTGGGTCTTGTAGTCAGTTTTGGAAACAAAACTTGGACTCTAAAATGACCACGCTTGGACACTGAAAAATATGTGTGTAGACAGCAGTACAGCATCACCTACAGTGTGGCATGGCTCACTTTGAAAATTCCATGGTGTCCTGTCACCAGGGTAACAAGGTGAGTGACATCATCCTGCCATTCCAACTGTCACTCTCTTGAGCTGAAAGGTTCAAACTTGAGTGCGGTGGGAACGTGCGTATCGTCCTATCCAGAGTGGTCCGCGATGGGAAATCTCAACTGCTGTCCAGCAGGTAGGCCACACTGACCTCCACAATGCTGCTTCTCCACCGGCCACTTACCTTCTGCTTAATCACTCTCCTCATGGACTGTCATTTCCCCATTCCAGGCTGTCTACAGATTTATAAAGATAGTTGGTCATCCGTATTATTCAGTTTCTACTTTTGATGCTTCTGTTAAGTTTGTTGTTTCAAAATCTTTCCTAAATTTAGAGAAACACATTATTTCCAATGTCAAGTTTGTTCACACCTTATCCAGAGAATGATGATAGGAAAGAAACTCACACTACTCTCATCAGTCAGGAAAAATTAAGACCAAACACAACACAGACATCACACAAAAAGGCACTTTCAAGCCAGCCTCTTCTGTCTGTAGAGGTCGCCATCTGAGACCAAGACTGTAAGAACAGTCTGAACCCAGATATCTTTTTGTCACATTGGAAGAAACTGGGATTTCAGGGTGGGGTGGATAAACACATGAACCCTGCTGTTTGGGAGTTACAGGGAAATGGGGAGGAGGGACAGTGCCATTGGTCAGTGGGGCAGACATCTGAAGACTGAGAGAAGGGGGCCTGCCTGATGGTCCTCAGGCAGAATCATGGGTTGGATGGGGCAAGCCTGGCAAAGGATGAACCTCACCAATGGGAGAGGGAATTGTGTATGCTGTCCCTGCAGGGTCTAGAGAGAGGTGAAGAGTTCCTAGGGACTGGGTTTTGGTGAGAAAGGTCATGGGCATGAAGGTGCAAATGCAGAGCTGGTACAGACATTGCCTTTTTCAGACAGGGATTTGAGACTACTCAGCCACTTTCTCTGAAGGACAGATATTAACTTTTCTGTGGCATTAAAAAATTCATCTGAGACAGAGTAAATTATAAAGAAAGAAGACCCTCAAACTCAGGATTCTCAAGTCTAGCAGTCAAAGATCAGGTGCCCATATCAAGGGTCCCATGTTGTGTCCCATCATCGTGGAAAAGTAGAAGAGCAAGCAGAGTGACAGAAGAGAGACAGGGAGAGGGGTTGGGCTTGTGTTCTAGTTACTCAGAGACAGGGAGAGGGGTTGGGCTTGTGTTCTAGTGACTCTCCCCCGTATTAACCAATTCAGTACTGAGAGAACCACACAAACTCCTTTCAACAACCTGATCCACTATTGAATGGGAAAACTGGGAAGAAAGTGAGGAACTCTAATGATCATACACTTCTCTGTGGTCTCCTGCCAGCTGGATGTCAACAGCTGTCTGTATTGTCATACTGTTCCAGGTTCTTGTCTAAAGAGTTTTAGACAAAAAGGAATTCGGAGGTCAAGTACATCGACTGTCCATTCCACACAGAAGGCCGGAAAAATCCATGTCTTGCCAAAGAGCAGGATGCCCCCAACAAAGGAATCAGTTGAAGGTACTCTGCAATATCAATCATGAAGCACATTAAACAATCAGGTTTCTGCTTTATTCAGGGCATCATAGTTAAGACAAAACTCTTAAAAAGCTATGCTATCTGTATCTTTCATTCCATGACTGCAAAATTAGAATTGGTCAACTCAATCAGCAGGGTGACCACTACACAGGGAAGACATGTTAACAACTTAAACTTGGGGTCACTGTTAGTAGTAACATCTAAGCTACTATTCAGACGTTTGCCCAATTGTCCAACATGGGCTGAAATGGACATCTTACTGAGAGAGTGCCACCAGATTTCACACCAATATTAACAATTGGAGATAAAAAAGGAAAACTGAACAGATAGCTCCTAAGGTTCTCATACTGGACTCCCACTTCCCTTTTTCTGATGACACTTCCACTAGTAGGGTACATTCGTTATGGAGACTGAACCAATAAAGAAATGTTATCATTGACTCAACTCCCAAGTCTGCACTAAGGTTGGTTGTTTCTGGTGGTATAGTCCTAGGAGTTATTCATCTTTACCCATGTTTCTAGAACCCTTGAATGACCCCAGAACATGACCCTAGAACTGGTCATTTTAAATATCTGTTTAGTCATTCTTTTTCAGTTTCCTAGAGTTGGAATTAGATTTGGTAACATACATCTAAGAACTCTCCTGCTCCTTTTTGTGGCTTGATTGCTCAATGATTTTCATCACTGAGTTATACCCCCTTGGATAGATGGGCCAATGTTCTTGGTCCTGGTTTCCAATTTAAGCAATCAGGAAGAAAGCCACCAGAAACAGTCATGTGGCAGGGTTCTGTGGGGACAAAGTTTTTTAAATTAATTGGGTAAACACCTAGGACTATGGCCCCTTGCTTGGATGGGGATGACATTTTTCTTGGTAAAACTGACTGGAGTTCACCAATGAATCCACATGGCCCTGACACCTTCTTTCGCCTTTTGTAGCTGTAAAGTTCTCTTCAAAGGCTCGGGCCCATGGGTTAGTTTGGGTAGTTTCTGACTCTGAAGGAATTTCAGGCTTTGTTGAACCTACTTGTGGGCATACAGTATGTAAAGTACTTTTTTCTTTTCCTTTTCCTGTCCATGCCATGAAAGGTGAGGATTCCCTTCTCATTTGCAGTAGCAGACATTGTTTCTCCTCTTTTTGCCTTGTGCTTTGACAGGCGGAGGTTTCACAATCTTATGCATTTTTTTTAAAAGAAATATTTTTTCATTTTTTTGTTTTATTCTGCCCATTTCCTATTTCCTATTACACTCATTTCTGAGAAAATTGCTATTTTTTCATTTTTATCTAATTTACATCAGATTGCTTTTGGTCATCTAATTTTCTGGGCTGTAAGAATACCTTATTGATTTTAGATCATCATTGTTTTCGAAAGTGTTTCACTCAAGGGCTCCATTTTCCTTCTGAGCACTGCTTCATTGCAATCCAAAGTTGCAAAATGGGTTTTTATTTGCTTTGTTCAAAATAGTTTAAAATGTCTATACAGTCTTCTTTGACCCATTTGTTTTGGACAGTATGTTATTTAGCTTCCATAGTTCTTGCAAAATTTACCAAGTAATCTTCATTGCATTGATTGAACTCTATTGTATTACCATAGTTGCCTAGTGGCACAAGCTGTGTGACATACATTACTTTAAGTGAGCAGTTGTGTGACAGAGCTCATACTTTGATCTGCCTTGGAGACTTCTTCACATGAACCTGAGAAGACTGTGTTTCCCTCATGGCTGAAATGTCTCTACATGCCAATCAAAATAGTTAGTTGAGGGATAATAATTTTCTCGGGCTGCCATAATCAAGTGCCTAGTTGGTGGTCAGTTTGAAGTACATGATATTTTATTTTCCCACAGGTCTGGAGATTGGGTGTCAGAAATCTAGGTTTATGCATAGTCACCCTCCCACAGAAACCCATCAGGACTAATCTTTCCTGTCCCTTCCCGGCTTTTGCTGGTTTCCTGGAAATTCTGGGCCTCCTGTGTGCCTACCATAGCACCTGGATTTCTACCCCCATCATTTCATGGCATCCTTTCATCTTGGACCTGTTTCCTCATCTTGTAAAAATGCCAGTCATATGGGAACAAGTCCTTGCTAGTCCAATATGAATTCATATTAACTGGATAATCCTCCAGTGACTCCATGCCCAAATAAGCTCACCTTCACAGGTCCTTCAAGTGAAAGGGGGAGGGAACTGGGAAGAGGGGCAGTTGGGACTAGAACTGGTGCCCATATGGGATGCCAGCGCTGCAGCCAGAGGATTAACCTGCTGTGCCACGGTGCCAGCCCCTATGTTGGCTTTTTTGAGGTAGTCTCCCCCTGTCACACTCTGTGTATCACCAAAAAGTGGACAACAGAAGATGAAGCAGGTATCTCTCTGTACCTAAGTGTTCACGGCAAGCAGAAAGTAGAAACAACAAAAACTGGGTTATTTCCCAGTATCCAACAACAAACAGATGAGTAATGACAATGTGGTATATGAACACACTGGAAGAGTTTTAATATGTAAAAGTGAATTTACGTTTTATACCAGACCAGGGATGGACATGGTAACACCTGACACTGTAATAAGGTGGACACAGAAAGACAAACACTGTATGTTTCTAATACAATGGCATGTCTACAACAGGCAAATTCAAAGGACTGGAAGTACAGATTAGTTGGGGATGGAAGGAGGAGAAGGTAACGTTCTTTCTTTATAGATGCAGAGTTTAGACTGGGTATGATGAAAACTGTTGGGGCACACAGGGGTGGTGCTTACACAGCACTGCCAAGTAATTCATGCCACTGAAATTTTCACTTACAAGTGATTCAGATAATAAATGTCTACTTGCCCAGAGCAATTTAAAAATACCTGAAAGGAAAGATGGCAAATGTAATAGCTGCTTATGTAGATTCATGGAGGTAAATGATCTTGGGACACACATGAAAAATGTGGGGATTTCCATGGTCTACATTTTGGGCATTTCTATGCCCATTTTGGGCAGGAGCAATGATGAGGCATCATCAAGGAATCAGTGCACTATGGCATTCGCCTATTTCTAAATTGACTGTTTCGTAATGATTTGGTTGCTAGTAGTAAGAAAGCCAAAACTCTCCTTCTCATTTCTTTCCTGCTCCTCTTCTTGGGCTTTGTCATCCACCAGGGAGGATGGCCCAGCAGTGGCACGTGTGCAGTTCCAAGCCCACATCAGGTGGCCTTCCTGCTACTTGTGGGTGCAGGGCTGGCTTGTCTTTTTCTTGCTCTGTTACTGAGTGCAGCACAGAACTCTTGACATTGTTCACTGCTCACCAACCACCCCCACACAGCCTAGGCCCATGTCCACAGCAAGCAAGTCTCCCTGCCGAACTCATCCACAACACCTGACAGTTACCCCGTGGTTCTCCTAGCTGCTCCTGAGGACCTGGTGGAAGCAATTCTGAGAGACAGAGCAGAGGAGGAGGTCACATCTCTTGGCAAGGTATGACTGGGGTTTTTGGTCACAGAAAGAAATGTTCCTGGTATACAATCACCAGTCTTATTTACTTATTTATTTGAAAGGCAGTGTTACACAGAGACAGGGGAAGAGAATAAAAGATCTTCCATCTAGTATTTTACTCCCCAGATGCCTACAAAGGCGAGAGTTGGTCCAGGCCAAAGCCAGGAGTCCACTGTGCTATCCAGATCTCCCACATGAGTGACATGGGACATTCTCCATGCCTCCCCAGGCACAACAGCATGACATTGTATTGGAAGCTGAGCAACCAGGATGCAAACTGGCACTGCAGGATGGACTGCTGGCACTGCAGGCAGCAGTTCCATTCACTGTGTCACAACATCAGGTCCAGGCAACGTTTTTCTCAGATACGAAAATCTGAACACCTATACTGCAGATGACTTCCACAATTTATTTGTTGGGGAAAGCCCAGAGCATGTCTGCTATAAAGTGAGACATGACTCAAGAGGGTCTCATAAAATGACAGAATCAATTACAAGCGATGTGGTGCTGGGCGTTTTCCACAGGAGCAGTTCTGCATAGTTTAAATATTTTATGATTTAAAAGATTTATTCATTATTTGAAAGGCAGAATAATAGAGAGACAGACAAAGATCTTAAATCCTCTGGTTACCTTCCCAAATGGCTATAATGGCTGGGGCTGGGCCATGTGGAAGCCAGGAGCTAGGAACTCGATCTGGGGGGGGGGGTCTCCCACTGGATGGAAGGGACTCAAATACTTGGGACATCCTCCACTGCCTTCCCAGGTACATGAGCAGGGAACTGGCAGCAGCAGGGCAGCCTGGACTTGATTTGGTGCTCTGATATGGGATGCTTGCCTCACAGGGGGCAGCCTAACCCAGTGTGCCACAAGGCCAACCCCCAGGTTTTCATTTTCACAAATGAATGTTGCATTTGCCCACCAAAATGAACACATAAAATGGGCTGTGAAAAGCTCACGTATTTCACACAAGTATCCTCTGTGCTTTAATTGGGGCATTTGCCTCATGCACTGTATCCCATCAAGTTTCCCAAGGTCAGCACCAGGAGAAGAGACCTGTACAAACAGTATCTGACCTCACAGTGACTTCCTTTCTCTGACTGCAGGTGGACTCAGGATCCAGTGGACACTGTACGTATTCTAGAATGCCTCAGGTGCTGAGGAACAACTGAAGGGATGAGACACTGGGACCGTCCTGCCGGTTCTCTTCTGGAGAGCCAACCTGATTCCAGCTTCCTGGTGGATTAAAAAGATTGAGGGTGTGGTAAAACAAAAACCAGAAAGACTAGCACATAGCTACAGGCATCTAAGGCAGGCTCTGGAAACAGCTATGTCATTTAGATGGTGGGGGTTTCTGTGCCCCAGTATGGTGAGTTTTTATGAGTGAGCGTGTATGTCTTTGAAAGTGCTTGGATGTGTATATGTGTACATATTTCCCACAGAAAATGTGTTCCCAAATGCACAGCTCAAGGTTCAATTCTCAAAAAACAAAAACAAAAAAGAACCTGATCACCCTCCACACTTTATGTAAGTGAGCTCATTCAACCCTCACCCCACATGTGTCTGATGGTTAGGTCACAATTCCATGGCTTAGCTGGATATGAAACATACTCCCAACATATGTGAAAAGTATTTAATACTAATGAAAACAGTTTAAAATATATTTAGGGAGCTGGAAAGGTCAACATGATTTGATCATCACACACTGTCTGCATACAATGAATCCTTATGCTATAATCCATAAAGATACCATTTATAATGGTAATAAAAACAATAGGATCAGGAGAAAAGTTTTACCATAATGCCTGGTTCTCATTTTTAAATGGTGGAATTTCAACATTTTTACATCTTTTTTATTTACTTGTGTGGTACCTAGGGATTGGCAATAAATGAACATGTTGCTTTGCCTACAACTGAGTCCTTCTCCCACTAACGGTTGCTTTTAATTAAGTTCAGAAGCTCATAGGAGAGATGACATATTCAAATACAATAAACAGATATTGACCCCTGAGTAGTAGTGACCTTGGGAAACATCAAGACGACAGTAGCAGTTTATTTGGCTTCTAAACATGCAGGAGTCGTCCCAGGACTCTTACTGAAATACAGCAACCGTGGTGGTATTGACCCCAAATAGTTCCCATGAATGAAGCTGCCTTGATCTAGAAAGCTTAAGGCTCTGCTTCTCAGGTCTTTCACGTTCTTCTCCTTCGCCTTAACCCTCACCCCATGCCCATGTCCACCAATGCTCCCTGATGCACCAGTGTACTGACAGTCACCATATGTCCATCTAGTGCCCCTGGAGGATGCATGGGAGGAGCTTCCTGGTGACATGGAGGATAAAGAAACTCCAGAGTATACTGAGGTAAGGGCCTCCGCCTTTCTCAAAAACAGAAATGTTCCTTCCTTGGCTTCTTCCTTTCTCAACCAGATGAAGAGAAGAAAAATCTGACCATGGATAGGGTCCATGATACACCCTGTGTACAGTGAGTGCCACTGAGAGGGAGAGTTTACACCAACAGAGAGCTGACGAGGGACACAGGGACAAAATGACTGTCAGGACTGGACCACAGCAAGCTTTTCTCTGCAGCACTTCTCCTCTTTTGAAAGGAATTTTGTGACTTCCAACCACAGTGGACTGGAGAGACACGTCCCCCATGAAGAGCTCGTGCCTGCTGGCCTGAGTGTGATCGCTCTGCTCACGTCTTTGGGTTCCCTCCATAGGACCACTCTTTCACATGGGGTTTCCCAGTGTCACCAAGGGCATTAAAGACAGGTGCAAAGGGACACAGAGTGTTCAGACCCTCATGGTGCCATTTTCTAATTACAGGTGATCTCAATACGAACAGCAAGTGGTATGTATTCGGGAATCACTTATTCCCTGTAGTATGAATAGTCCAGATGACAGCACAGATGGGACTATCTTGGGGGCTTTAGTGTGGAAGGCCACCTAATGCCCAATTCCTGCTATGAAAGAAGACTAGGAGTGCGGTGGTGGGAAATTAACTTCCTCATACAGGGTAATGATCATTTTCTGGGGTCCCTGGAAGATACTGGCTTGTGCATGGGGGTGGGCTTTATCTATGTGGGTTTCCATGTATTACAGTTCTGAGTCTACAAGTTTGGCAGTTTGTGTGTATTACTCTAGTTATGTTCTTCTGAAGCCACTATCAGTTCTCTATAAAAAAACAATCACAGAGGTATTGCTGCATGGTTACAGGAATATGTATATAAAAAAGTGAGGGGTTTCAGATGCAGGCTGGAAGCATCGTATTTCAGTGCACTAGGGAAAGTGAGACGTTGAGAGGTGGTGCCGTCAGCTCCTCTCCCTCCCTGGAAGGCTTGAAGCTGTGGTCAATGTCTGCCTGAAGGTCAGGTCCACAGAGCCCAGGAAGGGGCTGAGAGCACAGAGAAGGGGCAGGGTCATGCTGAGCAATCCAGGGAAGGAACGGGTGAGACTCTCTGTGAACACTTACTGTCTGTGTTTGTGTCTCTCAAGATTGGGTCTTGCAGAGCGTTTCGGACTATAACAGTGACGATGAAGTCTCTTCAGGTAGGAGCAACACCCACAAAGACCAGAGGGTCAAATTAGGGCAATGCTTGGGTTATCTGCTGCTTTGGACTCCTGAGAGGACATAGGAACAGAGGAAGAAAAAAGACATTGTATGTAGACGTCTGATTTGTTCTTTTTTATATTAATTATAGAGTAGGAAGAGGTTGTATACCCATGGGATTGGAGCAATAGAACTTTTTATCATTTCTTGCTTTACTATTTAAAACTTTACATTTTCTTTAATACTGACCACCCCCGGCTTTGCCATTGCAAAGATCAAATCCACTGCATTGTGACAGGACAGCACTACCTTCGAATTGAACACAAGAGATGTCTGTGTTTTGCACTGACCAAAGTCTTCGTCCATTTCTGGCCACAACGTAATACCTGAGACTCTGTAACTAATCAGGAACAGAAATTTCTTTCTTACAAGGGTGCAGGTCAAAGAGCAAGGTGCTGCCATTGTGTCTCAGTAAGGGCTCCTTGCTTCATCCTCAGCTCAGGGCAGAAGGAAGAAGAGCACCCACCCCCCACACCCTCAGGGTCAGTTGAGTTAAAGAATACTTTCTCTGGGCTGACTGGGGAGGCCCCAGCATCTTAGAGCTGTGAGGGCCAAGCATTACTCTGGGTTCATCTTGGCTTCCACATCTCATCCAAGTCTAGTGTTTGGAGTAGACTGTGTGACAGGCCATTATCCAGATGCTACTGGAGACGCTGCATAGCTGTACAGGCTGCCCAGAGGATGTGTGTTAGGGGATCCTGGGCTGGACACACACGCGGTCCTGCTGACCTCATCTCCTGGAATGCACTGGGCTCAGTGGAGGGCCTCTGGGCAGCAGGACTGGGCATCACTGTTCCCCTCAGATGCACTGCTTCAAACACAGCCTGTTCCCCCTCCAGTCATGCCTAGCACGTTCCCTGTCCTCAGGCCTGCCAATGTCCTACTTCCCAGTCCTCCCACTGCTCAGTGAAAACCCTAGCAAGTCCCATTTATTGATATGGCCAAGAATACACCTGCTGTGGACACCCTGTTGCCTCCTTGGCCGACTACCAGAATTTGAACAAATTAAATTTCCTCTCCTCTTGGGGTCATCTTTTCAAGTGGATCAGGAAACATGGGATTCTTGTGATGATTCAATATTTCCAAACTCCATGAGGTTACCCCAGACATATGGGGTTGGCCCTCATTACCTTTCCAAGGCCCAACAAGCATCCATGACACTTGTTCCCCATGTAAGTGATCTATAGATGTATTGCTGTGCGTTGCAATATGTTTTTTAAAGATTTATCTACTTCTTGAAAGGCAGAGTTATAGACAAAGAGGGAAAATCAGAGAGAAATCTTCCATCCACTGGCTCAGTCCCCATAGAACCTCAATGAGCAGGTTGGGCCAGGCCAAATCAGCAGTCCAAAACTCCATCAGAGTCTCCCAAACAGCTGGCAGGGCCCAAGCACGAGACATCCTACACTGCTTTCTGAGGCACTTTAGCAGGGAACTGGATCAGAAGTGGAGGAGCAGGGACACCAACCAGTGATCCCATGGAGGGGTCCCCACAGGTGGCGCTTGAACCTGCTGCACCACAATGCCAGCCCCAGGTGGCAGTATATCTTTATCTTGGCCTCCAGAGCTCCCATATCAGACAATAATGTGATTGGTAGAAGATGACAAGGACAAAGGAAATGGACAAGAGTTATGAGACAAAATAGAGGAAGGGAAACAGGAGGGATGGAAAACAATGAGTTGCATACATCGACCCAGTGGCTACCTATGGAGGAACAAGGTGACACTTCTTAGGCACAGTGATGGGAATCTGAGGCAGGAAGAAGAAGGCAAAGTTCAGAGATCCTCTCACTTATTACAGAGGTGAAGCCATCTAGGCCCTGGGATAGGGATATAGACATGGGGTCCAAGGTTGGCCTACATCATCCAACCAGCAGCAGGCATCCGAGTCCTCACCTCAAGTCTAACTCTCCCCTTTCCTTCTCTCTGGCAACCTCAACACCCCTGCTCTGGTGCACATGGAAGGCTATGTGGCTGCATCCGAACATTCCCTCGGGAGCAGCGATCTGGGAGTAAGTGATTTCTTCTTTCATCTCTTTTCTGAAGTTCTGCAGGATTAGGGAAGGAAACCGATGAGCTGGGGAAGTTGTCTGTAGTTAACATGTGGGTCACAGGCTGGATCCTGGATCCTGAGGGTGAGGTCAGACTGGGCAGGATCACGGCCCCACCCTGTGTCATCAGACCCAGGGGAGTAGGCCTTGGCTTTTTAATCCCAGGACCAGGTTAGAACGGCTTACTTACACAAATCTACCAAAAACAGATGCTGCTGAATAAGTGGGGAAAAAGGGACACTAACCCACTCTTGGTGGGAACGCAAACTGGTAAAGCCTCTGTGGAAGCCAGTGTGGAGATTCCTCAGAAACCTGAATATAACCCTACCATACAATCCAGCCAATCCTCTCCTTGGAATTTACCCAAAGGATATTAAATTGGCCAAAAAAAGACCTGTCTGCACCTCAATGTTTATTGCAGCTCAATTCACAATAGCTAAGACATGGAATCGACCTAAATGCCCATCAACAGTAGACTGGATAAAGAAATTATGGGACATGTACTCTATAGAATACTATACAGCAGTAAAAAAAAATGAAATCTGGTCATTTGCAACAAAATGGAGGAATCTGGCAAATATCAAGCTGAGTGAAATAAGCCAGTCCCAAAGGGACAAATATCATACGTTCTCCCTGATTGGTGACAACTAACTGAGCACCTAAAAGGAAACCTGTTGAAGTGAAATGGACACTATGAGAAACAGTGACTTGATCAGCCCTTGTCCTGACTGTCGAGGAACAACTTACTACTTTATTCCTTTTAGTATTTTTTTTGTTCTATTTAGTACCATTGGTTGAACTCTTTAATTAACACACAATTATTCTAAAGTGTTGAAATTTAACTGAAAAGTGATCCCCATTAAATATAAGAGTGGGAATAAGAGAGGGAGGAGATGTACAGTTTTGCACACGCACAATCAGACTTACCCCTAATGGTAGAGCTAGAAACATACCAGGGGATTCCAATTCAATCCCATCAAGGTGGCATGTACCAATGCCATCTCACTAGTCAAAGTGATCAGCTTCAGTTCATAATTGATCATAATGATAGGATTAAGAGTCAAAGGGACACATAAACAAGACTAGTGTCTGCTAATACTAACTGATAGAATAAAAAAGGGAGAGAACGATCCAACATGAGAAGCGGGATACACAGCAGACTCACAGAATGGCAGATGTTTTAAACAGTGCTTTGGCCTCAGTTCAGCCCTTAAGGCATTCGGATCTGGCTGAAGAGCCCATGAGAGTATTTCCGGCATGGAAAGCCAAGACACTCAGGGAAAAAACAAATGACCTAAATGAAAGATCTCTGTGAGTGAGATCCCAGCGGAAAGAACAGGCCATCAAAGAAAGAGGTACCTTTCTCTGAAGGGAGGAGAGAACTTCCACTTTGACTATGGCCTTGTCTAAACCAATGGGAGTTGGCGAACTCAAGAGGCTCCCAGGCCAGCGCCGTGGCTCACTAGGCTAATCCTCTGCCTGTGGCGCTGGAACCCCAGGTTCTAGTCCCGGTTGCCGCACTGGATTCTGTCCCAGTTGCTCCTCTTTCAGTGCAGCTCTCTGCTGTGGCCTGGGAAGGCAGTGGAGGATGGCCCAAATGCTTGGGCCCTGCACCCGCATGGGCAACCAGGAGGAAGTTGTCTCCTGGCTTAGGATCGGCGCAACAAGCCGGCTGCAGCACATTGGCCATAGCACCCATTTGGGGGGTTAACCAACGGAAGGAAGACCTTTCTCTCTGTCTCTCTCAATCACTGTCTAACTCTACCTGTACAAAAAAAAAATAGGATTCCATAGCGTTGGCAGCTCATGACAAGAGCCTCGGGTGATTACTGACATCATAAATAAGAGTGTCAATTGTTAAACCAACAACAGGTGTCACTGTGCACTTACTCCTCATGTCAGATCTCTGTCCTTAATGTGTTGTGCCATGTGAATTAACGGTATAACTGGTACTCAAACAGTGCTCTATACTTTGTGTTTCTGTGTGGGTGCAAAATGTTGAAATCTTTACTTAGTATATACTAAACTGATCTTCTGTATATAAAGATAATTGAAAATGAATCTTGATGTGAGTGGGATGGGAGAGGGAGTGGGAGATAGGATGGTTGCGGTGGGAGGGAGTTTATGGGGGAAAAAAGCCGCTACAATCCTAAAGTTGTACTTTGGAAATTTATATTTAGTAAATGAGAGAGAGAGAGAGAGAGAGAGAGAGAGAGAGAAATCCTAGGGCCTGAGAGACTTGCCCTTTCCTGTGCATCAAGTTCACAGTTTAAGGGGTCTCCTCCCTGAAGGCTGTCCCATGAATGCCTGGGGGAATTCGCCCTAGCAAATGGGCCTCAGTGACCAGGACCCTGACTGCTGCTGAGTTCGGGAGATCCTGAGATCAGGAGCCCTGTGAGTGCTGTACTCCCACCCCACTGCCCACACCCCTGCTGCATCCCTGTCCCCCCACTGACCCCTGCTCCTGTGTCTTTCTTGCAGACATCTTCAGCTGCTCGGAAGTCTGCAGTGTGGAGTCCTTGGACCAGAGGAGCTGGAGCTTCCCACACCATCGGAAGCTTGAACCACACAGGAGGAGACACAACAGCAGCCACGGCCCTCCTCACCAGTCCTCTGTGAGCTCTGATATTAAATCATCACCGAGCACCAGTTGGTTTCATATGGTTTTGTCTAATAAAGCACAGTGTAGGAAAACAAGCTTAGCAAAGGTAGAAGTTCAAAGGGTCCGGGAGCAGTCACCTAGTGAGTGCCCTCACCAGCACTCTCTGGAAAGGAACCGGAAATATGTGGTCTCCACTGAAAGTCACTGCCAGGCATGGTCTTTTCAATCTCTGCTGCAGCAATGACTTCCTAGTGGTTGTGTTGTCTCATGTCTGCTCCTCCTCTGGAAGGGACCATGAGGTCCATCTCACCCAAGACCTCTCATGACCACCTGGACGCCAAAGCATTTTTCACCTAAC